AACTTGTTTTAAACTATTTTATAAGGACTTCTAAATTCTTTAACGCTTATTTATTAATAATATAGTTACATACAATTTTTTATAACTATATGAAGAACTAAAGTATTATACATGTTAAATTATTATACACATGTAGTTATCAGATTGAATTCCACGATCAAATATATATTATATTTGTTTTTGTATGCAAAATATAATAATATTATAAGCCATTTAATTAATTTATTTCAAAAAATAAAATAAATAATTCTATAATATAATTGGAGACTCGAGAGCCCGAATGCCATTGCAGCTTCTATTATAGAATCTGCGTCTCTCTCTCTCTCTCACTGTTATTTTTGTCTCACTTCTCTCCCTCATAAACACTGAACATGGCACCAAAAAAATTTCACACATACATTACCAGGGGGTAGAGCTAGAAAACTGTGATTTCTGGGGGGGGGAGGGGGATGTTTTAATGATAAAATACAAAAAAAAAAATTGAACCTATAATAACTGCAAAAATTAAAATATTGAGTAATAATACTTCTATTTGGTTCATCCACCAGTGTTCTAGACTAGTTTTTATATCTCAAAAACACAATATGATAACCTCATTAGTAATGCCATAAAACACGTGTTGTTTTTCCATGAAGTATCTAATTCACTGGTTCACTTAATCGTTGCTATTAAATCGATCCCTAATCTCAATCTTATTTGGGAACCATTGCTAATTAGGTAAGCGAATTAAATTCAAATAGTATAATCGCTCTTAATGTACTCCAATTAACAACTATGAAAGAGGGGAGCGAGAGAACAAAGAGTATTAAAAATGTTTGTTGAGAACAAATTGTGGGGATTCAAGTAATTAAATAGTGGGTGATTTTACCTAATTGAACATAGTAGGCATTATTGGTTGTTTAACTTAAATGGCAATCAACAATTAGATTATTTAGATAGAAATTCAAAATGTTATCAGTTAAACTAATTATTAAAAGATCAAAGTAAGTTTCATTATACTTTATAGACAACAAGCATTAATTCCAAAGAGTAATTGTATAATCAATAGTATTTTATTATTGTTAGACTTCTGTTGATGCCAAACAATGAAAATTCATTTTTCCCTCCCCCCCCACCCTCCATTACAAATGGAAGAAAGAAATTGAACTTTTATATCCATTTTCTCCTCCAAATCTCTTTTCCAATACCCTTTCCCTCTCCTCCCACAAGCCAAGCAAGCTGCTAAGTGAGCTTGGAGGGTGAAACTAGCCTTAATTTTCACCCCCACCAGCTTAGCAGAAGAGCAGGTAAAGGGCTCTTGGAAGCAAAATATAATATTGCAAAAGTAAAAGGATCCGAAGGAAAATAAACAAATCATTTGTGAATTTGCAGCTGAGATTTGGGGTGACCACGTCACTGCCAGATCTGGTAAGAATATGGCAGGCCTTTCTGATTGATTAAATCTCAACCACTAAAACAAGAAAAGTAAAGAAACGAAAGGACCTGTTAGATTTGACGTGCTGACAAGATGTAACCTTGCCTAACTTGTTGCCAAAAATTAATAGGTCCAAGCCACAGACACTTATTTCGGTATAAAAAAATATATTTTAGTATTATATATTGATTTTTCAATTAAAAATAAAAATATATGTTCAGTTTAGTGGATATAATAAAAAATACGAGAGATATATTTTTTATCTGTTAAAGAAAGAAAATAAAAATGATACATTTTTTTTTCATGTTTTATAAGATGAATGAAAAGTATAAATATTTTATTTAAAAATAAAAAATATGCATACTAATATACAAACACAAGTATAGCGTTAATATATAATATAATTTCACCGATTGATATATGAGATTGAGTTTAGATGTTTAATGTAAATAAGTAATTAGTTAAAGGTTAAAAAATAAATAACATATTTTTATTCAATGTGAGTATCACTTTTCTTGTTTTTTTGTCTAATTTTGGACAGATTAATTTTGGTGAGTTGAAAAACAATTCATCAATTCATTTTTCTATCTTTCTTATTTTTCTTTTTTATTAAATATGATATTTTATCTATTTTTTTAATTTTTTATCAGTTTAATTTTTAATTTTTTCATTCTTTTATAATATCAAACAGAACAATAGCTTGGACATAATTTTTTGAATTAATAATTACAAATCAATAATTAAAATTGATAAATGTATCTTATCGATTTTTGTAACGTGGGGCTTCGACTCCACACTACCCCTTTTTTAGCGAGGTATTAAAAATCACATAAAAAACAATAAAAGGCAAAGGAATAAGAAGTCTTTCACCTCATAGCCCGTCAATCAAATGATCTGTACTATGTATGAGTAAAAATAGCATGGATGGGATGGGTCACACCTAAATAATTGCTTCTCAGTTCTTTGTCGATGTTTTGTTCGCCCATTTTAAACTCATGGTTTTAATTCGGGTTCGACTAGCAAAATTTTTTTTTGTTATCACTTATTATATTTTATTGTATTTATGATATTTTTTGAGTAAAATTTATTAACATTTGAGATGCAATTTATCACTTTGTGATTTAAAACTTGTTACATTTTAAATTTTTTGTATTATAACAAAAAATAAAAATTGATATCATAATTTTCTCTATTGTAATCCTAGTGGGTGGGATTGGATTTATGTCATAAAGTCTAAACAAAAAAAAATAATATAAATATAATCAAATAAAAAAAATTCTACACAAATATAATAAAGTTTTATTAACTGAAAAATAAAAATACAGCATCAAAATATTACTTTTCGATACTTTAATACTTTTTGATACTGTCTTAAATTTCAAATTAAGCTTTTATGGAAGATGTTCTAATTAGTAAATATACCTATCAAAATTTATGGATTGTTACATGGATTCTTAATTTACGTAGTAACTGCACGTTCAAAAAGCATATTGTTTGGATAGATTAACAGTTTCCTTCCAAAGAATTAAAAGATAGATTGGTGATTTGTTATCTAACTAAATAAAACCGATAATATAGATGCTGTTGTTTAGACAACCATATACACACCCCCCAAAGAAATTCTAATAAATGTCCACATTGAAAAAAGTGGGGGTGAATTGGTGAGTTTTCTCTGTTTAACATGAGATGGATGGTCTTTTGCTTTTGCTTAAAAGATTATCCATCCCTACTGCCGCTGTTTTCTTTTCTTTTGAAGTTGGGTATTGATTATATATCGGGCATTTTTTTGTATATGGATGGTGGATGCTTTCGGTTTATAAAAAACATTTTACTTCCCAAAAAAAAGCAACATAAGAGGGAGCAAGAATGGATGATGGCTTTATCCGAAAACCTATAGCGGGAACAAACTGGTTTGGTTTTAGTGATGTGTGGTCGAGATCTGGTTTAACATGAACAAGGGTAGGTTAAAGAAAGCTACTACACCTGCTCAAATTGTTGATTTCTCAAGACAGTATATTGATCACCAATATATGGCCACACAATCTCATGATTTGCTGACTAGTGAATCAACTAACAGACTGTATATGGAACTTTTCATGATTAGGTTCATTCAAATGAGGGTTTGTCTCACCAGGTTCAGTGCATCAATCTTGTGTCCGTAGCGAACGTAATGTGGCTCTCAAATGTTTAGCTAAATAATAATATGCGATCAATTGTAATGATACTTGACTACGGAGGAATGATGCCCCATTGTTTCTTTTGTCTAGCATCCAAAGAGGCAAGTACATCTAATCAATGAAATTCTGATCAATTCATTTCAAAGAGAGGAAAAAAAAAAGGAGAGCGAGATTTTACTGTAGTTGCAATTTTTAAAGTATAATTAGACCAAATTTCATAGATATCCCATACAGCAACACTATAAACTCAGGATAAAGAGACTCACTTACATGCGTAGGTGATAATCGTCTCTCTTTGATTCTACATGCAGCAATATTACTTTTGCTTTGTTCTGTAATTTCTCTTGTTTCCTTTTTAACTGAACTCCAAGTCTCTTTCTTTCTACCAAGTTCACATGGAAAGAACCTCTTAAGAATTCGTCAAGTATTTAAGAAACCAATTGGTCATTAAATTTTTTTTTTTGGGTAAGGGCCTGGTCATTTTAGTTTTATTATGTAATAAAATATAAACAAACTAGTTGGAAAACAGCCAGGTCAAATGCAACACCACAATTAAAATGACAAAAGTTACAAGGAACTTGCCATGCACAATTCACATGGAATGGTACTCAAGCCACTGTCATTTGGATTTTACCAAAACAGCGGACAAAGAAGGGTTAAAGGAGGTAGGCTGCAGCAATTTCCATGATGGAGATCTAGAGAGAGAGAAAGAGGGAGAGAGAGAGAGAGAGAGAGAGAGAGAGAGAGAGAGAGAGAGATATGAGAAGACAGGTTGAAGTGATATTCAAACTGTCATCAATTCTCTACGTGCAAGTCTATGCATGGGCCCATCTCTTGTCTCCTTCCCCACTACTATTTTTCCCCCACCTCCCCCCTGGTCTTCCCTTCCATTTCCTCTTTATATGCTCATCCACATATGTCCCTCTCACATTGCTTTGCTACTCTCTTTTTCCCTTTCAACTTGCCCATATTTCTTTCAAGAACCAGAAGATTTCCCTTCCTATAGTCTCTCAACCCCGTTCATATATCTCAGTTCAGTCTCTCATAATCCCTCCCCTTCTCTCTCTCTTCTATATATGCGTATATATGTATGTGAGTGTGGCTGTTCTCAAGTCATGGGACACCTGATTTTTTTTGTTTGTCTCTCAATGAATAACACTCTCACCAATCTAGGCAGCTCTGTTCTTCCCCAGAAATGAAAACCTTCAAATAATGCACAAACACAGCCAGTCCTTTTTCTCTTAATAGCCCTACAAAAGCACAATAAAAAAAAAAAAACCAACCCTGAAAAATTCATAGGGCTCTACCCATTTCTTGCAAACTTTCCCCATTTCGCCTTTTAACTATCTCCAAAAAAAACCTCCCAAAAAAGGGGACATTAAACCCTAACCCTCAATAAAATCCTCAAAATGTCTGCTACAGTAACCGCCGCCTCTGTCAACCGAAGCAGATGCAACTCCGGCAACAGCAGCAGCTCAATATCTGAAAACAGCATCAGCAACCAAGAACTATCACTGCCACAACCACCACCACCGAGCCGGTACGAGTCCCAAAAGCGCCGAGACTGGAACACCTTCGGACAATACCTAAAAAACCACCGGCCACCACTAACTCTCTCCCGGTGTAGTGGGGCTCACATACTCGAATTTCTCCGGTACCTCGATCAGTTTGGAAAAACCAAAGTCCACACCACTGACTGTCCCTTTTTCGGCCTCCCCCACCCACCAGCACCGTGTCCATGCCCTCTTAAACAAGCCTGGGGCAGCCTCGACGCACTCATCGGCCGTCTACGCGCCGCCTTCGAAGAGAACGGTGGACACCCAGAGACCAACCCCTTTGGTGCTCGAGCTGTGAGGTTGTACCTTAGGGAGGTAAGGGACTCTCAGGCAAAAGCTAGAGGAATAGCATATGAGAAGAAGAAAAGAAAGAAGCCACAGCAAACAGGGTCACAAGTAAATCCGACAATGAGGTTAGAGGATGATAATAATGTTCATGGTGTTAATGATCAGTCCTTTGAAACCAGTGAAGCTCTGGTCATGGCGGCTTCAGCTGATGCTCGAAGGTCCATGATTCCTCTCTTTGTGCTGAATTAGGGTTTGGTTGTGGTACTTGACATGAAGTTAGTTTTTATGATGGCACTATTTTAATTTCTTGTTTTGATTTCTCGTCGTTTATGTGTGTATTGGTAATGAAAAGGGTACTTTGAAGTTTGATGTCTTCTTTTGGGGGATCTGCCAATATTTCCTTTCATCCTTATTTGCACAAATCTTGTCGATTTTATGTATCAAAAAGGGCCTCATTATGAGAAAAAAACATGGAACATGCTCATCTATACAATTTTATATGGAGATATAGAATGATACATATTGTCCATTGTCTCCTGTCAGTTACAACATTATTGGAAACTTGAGACTCCTACTGATGCCAAAAAGTTGTGATTTATATGTCTTGTTGTCCTCTGATTTTGTTGGGATATAGCATGTAAGAGAATAAATTGAGAGTATCCTAATATATTGGGGATGAGTTTATTGCAAATCTGATAAGAAGCATAAAAAATTAACAATATATGAATAGCTTTGGTTGAGAGTATTTTATCACGAAGTTTTTATTAAACCCGGGTTATTTGACAAATGTTTTCTCAAATTTGGGTGGTTTTGAAAATATTTTTAAAACTCACGTAATTTTTCAAATGTTAGTTCAATTAACGCCTTTCGATAAAAATATCAATTAGACTGACGTAATTGTTCAAAATGTAAAGACTAAAAATGTTAAAAATATCTATTCACCTTGTGTGTTATTTTGAAAACGTCATTTTGACCAATTCTTTACAAACGTTGGTTAGAGTGACATTTTAAAAAACATAAATTCAAAAGACGTTTTCAAAAGCATCAATTTTATTATTTTTTTTATTTTCTTTGTACAAATTATTGTTAGCATTTCAAGATATTTTTACTAACAACTAATGACATTTTTATCTTCATTTTTATGAATAACAAAAAATGATGACCTAAGAAAATTTATTGCAATTGTACAAATGCAAAATTCGTTTAATTCATTTTACCATCAACTTTAACTCAACTTTTAATAAGGTAATAATTATTTTATTATCTAAAACAAAAATACAAAGTAAGAGCATCATGCTTAGATGACATGAAACAAATATGCGAGAATATATATTGACGACTAAACACCAACATTGAGTTACACATAGATGACTAAATTTGGCATTGACATTGATGACTAAATTTGGTATTGACAATAGAAAGAAGAGTATTAATAAATAAGAAAACTTAAATCTGCGAACGACTGTTTGATCTGTGAGAGGGTGGCCATAGGACGGTTGACATTGAAATGAAAATTACGTTTCTATCATGTCTAGTAGTAGCACTGCTCGATCAATCATAAGCACTGCTCCAGCAAGCTCTATGCAACTCCCCCATGGCATTTGATGAATAGGTTTTATACCTATGAATTGAGTACTCTTGGCTTGATGAAATTGTAAGTGTTCAAGTATTTAATGTTCATTTTTATTTGTTTTGTATGTTTTAATGTTATTTTATAGGCATCATCGTTTGGAAGGAAACAAGGTCATTTGGTAACTTAAGTGTTGGATTATTTGAAGACTAAGTAACAAGGGCAGCTCTAGGCTTAAAAGAAAATCAGTGCAGCTGTGCTAGGAGCAGTGCTACAGCGCTAGAAGGGCAGACAGGCAGCGTTCCTGTGCTGATTTTAGGGGCTACAGTACTTGTTTTAATGTGGACGCGAATTTGGACTTTTTTTTGAGTTGAAATTGAACCCTAATGCTACATATATGCTAGGGTTTGAGTTGAGACAAAAATATACTGATTTGAGGGGCTGCTAATTGAGGAGGAACCAAGGAATTGATAGAAATTTGAAGACAAGAATCGAAGGAAGAGACACGAAGAAGATTGGACTTTAAGGCTAGAGAGATATTGAAGATTGTAATTAAGTTTTCATTCTTTTGTCTTTCTATTAGTTCTTGATTTTCTAAGATGTTGGACTTTAAGGCTAGAGAGAATGATATTTTTTAATTACATTATGAACTAAGTTTTTATTAAGATTTGCAACGGAACCTGATGTTTAGTTAAATTGATTTATTTTCGTTTCTAGTTCTTATTGATTTTATATGAGTTGTTTATCATATTTTGTGTTTAATATATGATTGTATGACCAACAATTAATTTGATTACCTAGATAAAATTGAGAGATAAATTATAGGTTTAGATCTGAATCTGATGACATGCGTCTGGTTAATTCTTCTTAGGATTGAATAGCTGAGTTTGTGTATAGGATATGAATATATCTATATGTCATGCGTAACTTTTATAAGAGTTTGAACTTAATGAATATATTCTAAATTATTTTGCATAGGAATATAGTAATTTAATTAGGAGAGATATTTTTATCTAACTATCAGAAGAGGTTTGACAAATAATTTTGAATTTTCAGTTAACAATTTATTTTGATCAATTAACTGAAAAGAGAGTTAGAAATATTTATGCGAAGTATTAGGGGAAGTTGTAATCTTAAATTCTTTTATCTGGTAAATTCAATATTTGATTATTAAATTTAAATTTAGTTTTAAACTAGTGAATTCATAGTTAATTTCAATTGTTTAAATAAAATCGAATTGATATAAAGTTAGTACTTCGAAATTATTAGTAATAATTCTCTGTGGAAACGATACTTTACTTATCACTTTATTACTTATTTTTTTTTTCGGAAGGTAAAATGTATTAAATAAAACAGGTAATTACAGGTAATTACCCACCAATTGTACAATAAAGTCACGTAGGACTCAGAGACAAACACCAAACAAACCTAAAATGCCAAGACCCAAAACACATGTCTGTAACAGATGCCCAGAGTAAGAGCATCTCCCACAGACTTGTAGACAAGAATACATTGGAAGACAAAAACAGAGAATGAATCCAATAATTCAGCCCCATAACACCACTGATAAGCCACATCACAGATACTAGAACCATATGGCCAACCCAGGACAAGGCAAAATAGCCCGTCACAGTCACCTGAGTAACTAGCAGGACATCACTTTATTACTTGTTAATTGTGTATACTTGCACGTAAATTGTCAATATCAAATTCGAATAACAAATTTTTGGCACCGTTACTTGGGACTTATTCTAGTAATTATTTTAATATTAATTTCAATCATTTTGATCTTTGTTTAAAATTATTTAATTTTTTATTTTAATTATTTTTCCAAGCACTCTTGAATTTTGTATGCAAACACGATTTACAGGTCAGGAGTTACTACTGTTCGAAGACGAAATCGAAAAAAAGCTCCAAAACTTGCAAAAACAGTGTTAAGAAATAAATAATCAAGAAACTATGGCTGAAGATGAACATAAATTGCTAAGGGATTACACTATGCTAATTGTTACAAAAATACAATCGAGCATTCAAAGGCCCACAATTCAAGTAAATAGTTTCGAGATCAAGTCGGGTACCATTTAAATGATTCAGAATTGAGTGCAGTTTGAGGGTTTGCCTAAGATGACCCAAACAATCATTTCGTGAGTTTTCTGGAGATTTGCGACACATTCAAGTATAATGGGGTTTCTGAAGATGTGACTAGACTCTGACTCTTCCCTTTCACACTTCGTGATAAGGCAAATAGTTGGTTGCATTCTTTGTTGTCGGGTTCTATTATTATATGGAGAGATTTAGCTCAAAAATTCTTAGCTAAATTCTTTCTATCAGCTAAAACTGCAAGAATGAGGAATGACATCACTTCATTCGCACAACATGATTCTGAGACTCTTTATGAAACTTGTGAGCGATTTAAGGACTTACTCTGAAAATGCCCTCACCATGGTATTCCTAAGTGGTTGTAATTTCAAACATTCTACAACGGGTTGTTTAATGCTACTCGGACTAGTATCGATGCAGCTACAGGTGGGGCATTAATGGAATTTTTTTTTGATAAAACATACGAGTTATTGGAGACGATGACTACCAACAATTATCAATGGCCTTCTATAAGGATCAATCAGCCAAAGGTAGCAGAGATTTATGAAGTTGATGAGGTTACTACATTAGCTGCACAGGTTGCTACAATGAAAAAGAAGATTGATGTTCTAGGGGTGTAGCCTATTCTGAGTGTGGTAGTTGTTTGTGAATTGNCCAAAGGTAGCAGAGATTTATGAAGTTGATGAGGTTACTACATTAGCTGCACAGGTTGCTACAATGAAAAAGAAGATTGATGCTCTAGGGGTGTAGCCTATTCTGAGTGTGGTAGTTGTTTGTGAAGTGTGTTGGGAACCATCCGAGTGATCAATGTGTCATTAATCTAGAGTCAGTACAATATATTGGTAACCATAATAGACAACAATATAGTAACAATTCCAACAATTATAACCCTAGTTGGAGGAATCATCTGGGGTTTTCTTGGAATAATGATCAAGACCAAACCTCTGCTCTAAGACAATCATACCCACTAGGCTTTTAGAATCAAACTCCACCATAGCAGGAAAAAAAGTCAAATTTGGAGGAATTGCTTTTTAGGTACATAGCATAGAATGAGACAAGGATGAACAGTCAGGAAGTATCAATTCGAAACCTGAAAAATCAAATGGGTTAGCTTGCTAATGCCATTAACAACCGACCTCAAGATACTTTACCTAATGATACAGAGATCAATCCTAAGAGAGAAGGTAAGGAGCACTGTAAAGTTATTACCTTATGAAGCGGAAAAGAGTTACCATCACAACAATCACTTGAAGATGNAGAGATCAATCCTAAGAGAGAAGGTAAGGAGCACTGTAAAGTTATTACCTTATGAAGTGGAAAAGAGTTACCATCACAACAATCACTTGAAGACAATAGTAAGGATGAAGATAAAGATAGTAAGAATGTGGAACATGAAAAAAAGGAAGAATATTTAGTTGTAAGTTCTAATGGAGGCAAGCAGAGTCCTATTGTGTCTCTTGTGCCATTTCCCCAACGTTTGCAAAAACAGAAGTTGGATAAACAATTCTCAAAATTTTTGAAAGTGTTCAAGAAGCTCCAAATTAATATCCTTTTCGCAAATGCATTGGAGCAGATGCCC